GGGGCTGTTTAGCACAGGGCTTCCGAGCATCCGCGAGATGGAGGCTTCGTGAGAGCTAGCGAAATGCAGGGAGTCGGGTCCTGGGGTGCTGAGGAATTTTTGGAAGGGGGCCCTCAGAAAACAGGGTTACCCTTTCCTTGGCCTCTGTCCCTCTGCAAATCTGCCCTGTTTTTTTTCTAGTTGGGAATTGGCAGAGCGTTAGTGTGTCTGAGATGGCTCCCAGCTGCTGGGGAGGAGGAAGGGAGCCTGCCTTCTCACAGCATGGGGGGCTAAGGAGAGGGTTCTTGGACTCCAGCCTGTATAGATTGGACTTCCAGAAGCCTTGGCCCAAACGACTCCGGGTTAGATTAGACAGCCGTGGCCAGGCTCGAATAAGGCTCTAGCCCAGTAACAGACCATTCTGGACAGCCTCTTCTGGGCTTTCTTCCTGATTTCAGTGTCTAGGAGAGTTGAGTCTAGAGGAGCCTGCAGAAGTTACTGCCCTGACCCTTCTAACTTGGAAGAGAGAAGTCTCAGGTTGCAGCTTCAAAGGCCATTGAGAGGCAGGGACAAGATCCTTGTGTTCACTATGTGAGGAACTCAGTTTGACCCTGCTTGTGGGACTCTACATTCCCCAGTGCTCTTGTTCAGATTGCTTCAGAATGTTTGAAAGTTGTTTGCTTTTGTTTTTCTGTCCTGAGCATGGAACCCCGACAGGGCCTGGCGCGTGTCAGACAAGTACTGTATCAGTGAGCTATATACATCCCCTTTCCCAGAGTGCCTGGGAATTGCCTATCCCTTTCCCACACCCTTGTCACTTTAGCTGTTGTTTTTTTGTTTTTGTTTGTTTTGAGACAGGGTCTCCCTGTAGGCCAACTGGCCTGGAACTTCCTATATAGACCAGGCTGGCCTTGATCTCACAGAGATGCCTGCCTCTGCCTCCTGAGTGCTAAGCACCGTTATACCTAGTCACTCTAAACTTTTACTTATCCTCCAGGTTCTGCCATATCTCAACCTATGTGCCCCAGCCATACCAATGGCCCAAGCTGTGCACAGTAACTTACTGTCCTCTACTGGTGTCCAGGTAGAGGTCCCAGAAATAGACCCTCATGGAGAGTGCATATCCCACCAGGAACCTTTAATGCTTAATGCTTTTTTTCTTTTTAATTTTTCTTTTTCTTTTTTAATTTTTCCTTTTTCTTTCTTAATTTCTTTATTTCTTTTCTCTTCTCTTTTTCCTTATCTTTTTGAGACAGGCTCTCCCTGTAGTCCCAGCTGACCTGGAACTCACTATGTAGACCAGGCTGGCCTTGAACTCACAGTGATCTGCCTACCTCTGCCTCTCCAGTGCTGGGACTAAAGGTCTGTGCCACCATGACTGGCCTTCAAATACTTAATTTCTAAGAAACTAGTTAACATGGGGTAGTGATTTTGCCCCTTATGCTGCGGGTCCTCTTTTCTCAAAAGAAAACAAAGCGTTTAGGTATGAACAACATCCCAGGATGCTAGCTGGGATTCATGGGTCCCATGTTTCTTTTTTTTTTTTTTTAATTAAAAAATTATTATTTTTATGTGTTTGAGTGTATTGCCTGCGTGTATGTAAGTCATGCATTGCCCTCAGAGGTCAGAAAAGGGCATTGGATCCCCTGGAACTGGAGTTACAGATGGTTGTTAGCCACGAGGTGGGTGCTGGGAACTGAACCCAGGCCCTCTACAAGAGCAGCCAGTACCCTTAACCACTGAGCCATCTCTCCAGCCCTTTCCTTTCTTTCTTTGCTTTCTTCTTTGGAGATCCATGGGCCCATTGTATCCCTGCATCAGTCATTCCAGTGCTTGGTCTTCCTAGCTTAGACCTAATATGGGAGAGCTTCCTATGGGGCTTTAACAAATAATAGACAGAAAAACCAGACAGAAGCCTCTAGTTTCCTTGGCATGTAGCTCATAGGAAATGTGCCCTTGTGAAAGCCCCTGGGAGGAGAGGATGGATGCCTCCATACTTCGTGGGGTGTGGCCTTAGGCCTATGGTAAGGCCAACCTGGCTGGCTGGATAGCTGTGGTTATGAGTGTGGGGAAGGAGAATATAGCTTTGAGTCTGGGCATCCCACCCCTCCAGGTTGGCATCATCATCTCCTTTTTCTTCTTGTAGTCTTTACCATCTTCCTCTTCCTCTGAGGACTGGCAGTGTACAGAGGGAGGAAGGCAGAGACCCCACCTAACTTTGGTTGAGTTTGAAGGAGATCCTGCTTGCTGCTTTCTATGTCTAGGTGTCCAACTTCCAGAAGGACTTGGGGTCTGAGGACAAAGGCTGTCGGTTAGGGCTAATGGGGGTGCGGGGAGCAAGAAGAGCAAAGACTTGAATACTCAAGCTAAACAAACTGAGGAGCCTGATGAAATAAGAGTTATGGGCCACCTCCAGAGGGTTGTTTCTAGCTTTGGATTATAGGCAGCTGAAGAGCTTCACATACCCTGATCAAAAACAACAAAACAAAAAACCTACCATACATTATTGCTGATTTCACTCAGCTCAGAGTTTAAAATACTGTTCATGGGGGCACATCCTATTCAGGCTCTTATGTCCAGGCAGCCACCAGGAGCATCGGGGCCATAGGCTTTGGGGAAGAATAGAGCATGCCCACTTGAGTCCTAGATTCCTAGCCCAAAGTTGGTAGGATCAGGCCATGTCTTCTGCCCTAGTCTCCTCCCTGGTCATAGAATCAAGGTTAGAATCTGGTGCTTGGCCAAAGGAGAGGAAGTTACTGCATTCTGGGGCTCAGGGAATTGAGCTAGGCTGCTGCTAAAGTGGGGAGGCAGGGAGGCTGAGAATTTGTGGCTATGACTTTTTTTCTTAACTCCTGAGTTTAAGTAGGCATTGTTACTGGCTCTTCAAAGCCCAGGTGTGGAGTTTGGCAAGGGGGACTAGGACTTGAAATGTAAGCAGCCTTCCCCTGAGGCCCTAGGTGAGCTGGGGGCCTGGAGCCTGAGCCCCAGAAGTCTGAAGCAGATGTCTGGGTGGGCCTATTCTAGGTCTGCCTGTGCTGCCTAGTCTTGGGATTTTTAGGACTGGGCAGTACTGCAGGCATTGTGAACCTCAGTGAGGAGCTTCTTGGGGGCCAGAGCACTCCAGCTTATCCTTTGCAGTTGTTTCTCCCCTTCAGCTCAGGCTGGGAAAAACCTCAAGTCTGGGATGAGTGGGCAGATTCTTAGAGCCGTGGCCATCCTGAGGCTTTTTTTATTCCCCCTCTTCTATAATCTCTGGCTCTGGCTCATTAGGACAGAGGAGCAAGCTGTCTTTTGCCTTTCAACAGCTTTGATGAATTTCTTCCTGATGAGGAGAGACTTAAGGCAGTACTCCTGAGGTCCCTGGGTCCCCCACTTTTAACTCCTCGATCTCCAGATGCTTCCGTCTTTTCCCCTTGTCTCTGGGTCATGTCTTTGCATCTGGTCATGAATTTTACCCTCTTTTGGGACAATGGGTTTGGTGCTGGATGGAGGTTTCAGAGACACATCTCCAGGATGTTGGGATGGGGGAGGGTCCTTTAATTTCATGTGAATCCCCACCCAGCCTGGCCTGGTTGTCTGACTGTGCTGATTGCATAATCTGGGCCCTGGGGCCAGCCCTGTGAAGCTGCCAGGGACAGTGTGTGCAGTGCAGAACTGCCAAACAGGCCTTGTAGGCAGCAGCTATGAGAAGAGGGCTAGGGAGTGGAGGGCTCCCAAATGGGCATGACAGAAATGTTGGGAACTGGGCCTTGGATGGGAAATCCAAGAAGTTACTTAAGTCACCCAGATTGTTGCTATTGACCCTGTGACTCCACTCTTTGCTTCCTTCTGCAGCTTGGGATGGCTAGGGTTAAGCTGAACCACAGCTGAACCTGCTGCCAGGTGGTGCCTGGATTGTGGGAAGAGTCCAGATATCTGCTGTTCTCATTCCCACAGGCCACTCAAGAACCATAGCTTCCCTTTTGGGGTCTTTTGGCATAGGGCTAGGGGCACAAATGTAGAGAAATGAGAGTTTTGTCCTGATTGTGGTAGGAGCCATATGGTGACCAGATGGTGTCTGTACTCTGCTGAGGCCATCCCCCACCAGTTGAGACATGGCCAAGTCATTCCTGTTGTACTTGTTCACCTGGGGTGCTGTTCCTGAATGGGCTTGCCAGCCCATCGACTGCCTCTCTTCCCTTGTGCTGCCACCAGGCAGGCAAGCCCCATCACACTGTTTATAACCTCTGTATTTCCGTGTTGCTGTGCATTACCCCAGATCTCTGGAGCAGTGTTTTTCTCTTTGGATGGGGAAAAGAAAAGAGAGTGTACAGTGGGACAGCTAAGGACGCTAAGAATACCTCAAAGCTGGCTGATGCCAGGGAGCAGGGCACAGTCTATTGGGGCTGGATCACAGTGATAGGCCCTAAAAAATTCCCCAGGCCCTTCCTTCTTAAAGCAGTACTCTCCTCCCACCCTTAGGCTCTGGCTGCCTCATTTGTTGGCAGGGCTGCCAGGGCGGTTGCAGGGCGGGGCAGGTGTGGTTTACACCCTGGGCTCAGGCTTCTGCTCCCCTTTGTTCCTGATCTCTCACAGGGCTCCTCATGTAGTGCTCTGCTGGGCCTGTTCAAGAGAGATGGAAAGCATGGGCTATGGGCTGCGTAGGGCTCTGCCATTGACCTGTGCACCCCCATTGCTTCACTTTTCCCAGCGACCTGGCATGTCCCCAGGGAGCCGGATGCCCATGGCCGGCTTGCAGGTGGGCCCTCCGGCTGGCTCCCCATTTGGCACAGCTACTCCACTTCGACCTGGCATGCCACCTACCATGATGGATCCATTCCGAAAACGTTTGCTTGTGCCTCAGGCCCAGCCCCCAATGCCTGCCCAGCGCCGGGGGTAAGACTGTCTTCTTTTTTATACCTTGCTTAGCCCATCTCTGGTGGTAGCAGAGGGTTTCCTTCTACCTTGACCCTAAGGAGACTCCTGGCAATCTGGGGGAGGGTTTTGAGGATTGGAGGGGTGGGTGGGTGAATCTTTTGGACTCTTTTTTTTGGTCTTTTTGAGACAGGGTCTCCCTGTAGCCCCAGCTGTCTTAGAACTCACTGTGTAGACCAGGCTGGCCTTGAACTCATGCCCGTCCCGTCCTTTGGACTCTTAAGCTCTTAAATGGGTTTCTATTTTACCACTAGGTTAAAGAGGAGGAAGATGGCAGATAAGGTTCTACCTCAACGAGTGAGTACATTGGAAGGGAGGCCTGCTGGGTGTCTGGCTGGCCAGGGTGGGAGGCCATCTTCCCTAGCCCTGGAATACAGGAATGGAAGGGAGGATGGAAGAACCAGAGCTGCCTGAAAGAAGCTGTTGATTCCCCACCCCAGATTCGGGAGCTCGTCCCAGAGTCTCAGGCATACATGGATCTCTTAGCTTTTGAGAGGAAGCTGGACCAGACCATCGCTCGCAAGCGGATGGAGATCCAAGAGGCCATCAAAAAGCCTCTGACGGTATGTGCTGTTCTGATCACCCTGAGCTTTCCACTGTGCTGCCTCTCCCTGACATTTTCCAGGGCCAGGCAAGGGTCTGCTTGGACTAGAGCAGCAGATTTTTTTTTTTTTAATTTTACGTGTATGAGTGTATTGCCTGCATGTATGTGAGTGTACCCGTGTCGTGCAGTGCCGCGGAGGTCAGAAGAGGGTGTTGGATTCCCCTGGAACTGGAGTTAAGGACAGTTCGTAGCCGCCATGTGGGTGCTGGGAATCGAACCAGGGTCCTCTGCAAGACCAGTCAGTGCTCTTAACCACTGAGCCATCTCTCTAGCCCCAGAGCAGGAGATTTCACAAGCAGGATGCCACCCACTTGTAGAGCATGGACTCCATTTAGTGTGTTGGGGCCAGCATGCTTTGAGACAGTATCTTGCTATGTATGGTCTCTAACTCACAGTCCTTCTGCCTCTGCCTCCTGAGTACTGGGATTGTAACCATTACTACTGTGCCCAGCCTAGTATGATTAAAACAATATTGAATAGTAGAAAATAGAAAAATACTTCATAGTAGTGAAGTACTTATTATAGTAGTAAAAATATTTACCATAGTAGTCAAAGTATTATTTCATAAAAGTTTGTTTCA